AGTCTGAAAATCAATCTTTCCCTATATCATCTGATGTATCATTCACTGCCTTTCCACTTTTTGATGAATGGTTTTCAAGGAATAAATCGAGCCCTCCTTCATGTAAAGTGTCAGACCTTTGCCCGCAAAATCAAGTCCCTTTCAACATTGAGTCAACATGTGTTATTGGTGAACAATCTAATGGTACTACCTCGACTCCATAATTAACTCCTAGAGACCCACATTACGATTTTAGTCCCACTGGTGGTGAATTGGAAAATGATGTTGAACATACTACACCACCTCCACATGAAGTTCCTATCATTCCTACTTCTTCAACTTCACCCCTGGCTATAAATGAACGCCCACAAATTTCTGATTCTCAAATAACCCACTTACCTTCTAGACCACATTGAGAAAGACGTCCTCCTTCCCACCTTAGTGACTATGATTGTCGTACTATTTCTGTGCCTTCTGATAATGCTCTCCTAGTGTCTGTGGTTGAACCCAAAACCTTAAAAACTGCACGTAAATATGATAATTGGCGAGAAGCCATGCAAGATGAAATAAATGTGTTTGAACACAATAAAAATTGGTCTCTTGTTCCTCGTCCGCAAAATGCTAATGTTGTAGGATGTAAATGGATTTCTAAAACTAAGTACAAAGAAAATGGTAGTGTTGATAGGTTTAAAGCACGCTTAGTAACAAAGGGTATACACAAATTCATGTCCTTGATTTTGGAGAAACATTCAGCCCAATTGTCAAGGCCACAACTATCCGTGTCATTCTTTCCTTAGTTGTTCACTTTAGATGGCCCTTTAAGCAGTTAGATGTGATAAATCCTTTTTTTGCATGGTACCCTTAATGAGAAAATTTACATGGAACAACCACCTGGATTTTTACATTCTACATTTCCTAATCATGTTTATTTGTTGCATAAATCACTTCATGGACTCAAGAAAGCACCTCGTTCATGGTTTTCTAAACTTTCAAATTGCCTTATATCATTGGGTTTTCGTTGTAGTAAAGTCGATCCGTATCTATTTATTTATAATCGTAACACTAATCTTATTCTTTTGATAGTTTATGTAGATGATGTAATCGTTACTTGAAATGCCACCTTACTCATTTCTCACATCATCAATCATTTGAATAAAGTATTTGCACTAAAAATTTAGGAGATCTCTACTATTTTCTTGGCCTTGAAGTTAAATACTTTCCTGGAGGCCTTACTCTTTCTCAAACTAAATATGCCCATGACATCCTTGGCAAAGCAAAAATGCTTGAAGCATCTCCAATTAGTACACCAATTGCCATCAAACCAAATTCACTTCATGATGATGAAAAGCCAGTTGGCCGCACCTTTTACAGACAACTATGTGGCTCACTTCAGTATCGTACTTTTACAAGACTTGATATCACACATGCTGTCAATCAAGTGTGTCAGCATTTTCACAATCCTACCATGAAATACCTTCGAGCAATCAAACGCATTTTACGCTATATTAAAGGGACTCTAAACCATGGTCTTCGTTATCTATCACAAAGTTCACTCACTCTTGGTACCTTTTGTGATGCAGATTGGGCTGGTTGCCCACAAACACGAAGAAGTACTACTAGTTTTTGCATTTTTCTTGGCTCTAATTGTGTGGCCTGGACTTCTAAGAAACAACTAACAGTATTCCGCTCTAGTGCAGAGGCCGAGTATCGTGCATTAGCCACTTCTGCTGCAGATTTAACTTGGCTCAAGTACCTCTTTAATGATCTCGGTATCAATCTTGAAAAGTGCCCTGTCATTCTTTGTGACAATAAGAGTGCCATTCACATGTCTCACAACCCTATTGTCCATGCCCGCATAAAACATATTGAGATCGACTATCATTTCATCCGGGAAAAAGTTATGACTGGTGATCTTAAGCGTCGGTACATTTTCACTACCAAACAAATTAGAAATACTTTTACAACCACTTCCAAAAGATTCGTTTGCCATTTTCCGATACAAGCTTGGCATTTTCTCTATCCCATTGCCAACCTTTGGGGGTGATAAGATACTCATCAAGGATTGGCTCAGAGCAATAATGGTGCAAATCAAGGATTAATGGAGAGAAGTAATGTTGCCCGTAGTCATGGCAACATTGAAGACAACCGTTGAGGAGAGGCCTCTATCACTTTAACCAATGTTTAGGGAAATCCTTTTAATGTAGTATTTGATCGTTGGATGTAATTGTATATAAGTAAAAGCATGTAGAAGCAATATGTAATGAAAGGATTACACAATTATCTCTAATCCAAAAATTCATCCATTTTCTTTTCTAAGCATGTTGTTGTAGGGTTGACCAAAAAGGCAGTTGTGGAACTCGGAAAGCATGGGATTAAGGTGAACTGTTTGTCTTCCCACGTTGTTCTAACTGCAATGTCTCAGAATTTTTTCAAGTTTGATGAGAATGGACATTCTAACGAGTACACAAATCTTTCTCTTGCCAGAAGATTTAGCCAATGCAGCGGTTTATCTGGCTAATGAAGCAAGTCGATTCATGAGTGGGCATGATCTCATGCTTGATGGAGGATTTACTGCTACCAACCCTTCTTTTGGCTTGTTTTCAAGGTTGCCAGTGAAATGAAGCTCCAAGATTCGAATCGGTTCTAAATAAAGTGACTAAAAAGGACGTGATAGATTCTTTCATGATTGTTATAATTATGATCCAAGCAAAGTTTAAATGAAATTGAGAAAGTTAAGTTGTCAACTTTGATGGTGACTAATTTGTTGGAATAATAATGATTCTTTCATCTTAAATTGAGACGCATTAGCAGTTTTGGCGATGGTTAACCCTGGTGGTTACAATGGCTAAATGATCCTCCATAAATTATAATTTGTAAAACTTTGGCTCCAACATAACTTTGTTGGTGTGTCTTACCAACCTGCTATAATAGCCTAGATTTTCAAGCATTGGCCTCCTTTATAGTAGCCAAAAAAAAAAAAATTAAGAGTCTTGTTTATTTAATTAAGTGATTAAAATACTAATAATAGAATTTTATTTTTATTTTTTTGTGATAAAAAAGTTTACCCAATCTGTTAATTTATCTTTCTATATTACGTCGCTCATCTCAGTAGACCAATTTACTCATTTGATTCATCATCTACTTTGAACAAATTATATTTACGGTCAAATAAACGAATTTGATAGCTTGTATAGAGTTAGTCAAACTTTGAAGAATAAAAATTAACCCGGCCAAACAAAAATAAAATTGATAAAAAAAAAAAAAAACCTTTTATAGTATGCATAGAAGGTTAAACTTACTAAATTTCTTTAGTTGGGAGAACAAAAATAAATAAATCTTTCTGAAATAATGCAAAATTACAAGCGAATAAGGTTGAATCTCACTGTTCTGCGTAATCTTTCCTCTTTATTTTTACTCCCAAATGCCACAATTTTCGTTTTGTAGCACTCTAATAATTACTCCCTCCGTTCTACAAAAATAGTCCAGTTTCAAAATGTACAATTTTTTAATTTCAGTCACTCACTCAAGGTACTCATTTTAATCATTAAATTGCCGCTTTTACCCCTATCTATCTCATCTATCAGTCAATCGCCATAAATATTTCTTCTTTGTTTCTTCGGCGGAGAACAAAATCAGACGCCACTCAGTTCAGCCACGAGCTCGTAAATAACCAAAAACGAAGAGAAGATCATCTTCGTAAACGACAGAAGAAGAGAAGCAGTTTAAGCCAAAAAAAAAAGTAAAGTATAATTTTTTTCAGTTATTGTTTTAAGGATCGTTTTTGCTACCGGAGATCGGAAGCCTTTCCGACGATCCCACAGTATATCACGGCCATCCTTCATTGGTGGCTCAGCTGGGCATCTCGATTGGCTGGAGATCTCAAAGGAGCACATCTTCAAAATCGAGAGATTCCAGGTTCTGAGTTAATTAGTTGATTAATTTGAGGGGCTTACTTTTTAATTGATTGAATTGAACTGGGTATGTCAAGGAGATTATGGTGATCTATGCGGCGGAAGGGAAAGAAGAATGACATGGAAAGGAGATTGTGGTGAAAAGTCGGGATGGCCGGAAAGTCGGGATTCTACCGGCAAATTGATTCGCCAGAAGATGTGAAAGTGGTGGCGGCATTCGGGGAACTTGGCCGCTGCATAATTATAGGGTGGAGTGGTTAGTATAATTTTGACAGTAGGTTTTAAGGGTACTCCAGTCATTTCAATCTAATTTAATGTTGATTTTATGAAAGTGGAATATGTTTTTAAGACAAGATTTTTTTTTGATCTGAGACAGAGGGAGTATTATAGTTTGGTTTTCCCAATTTTGGTTTTCCCGTCTTTAGAAGTCTTTGCATTTACGAGTTTAAACTTTCAACATATTCTCATTTTGGCTCTTAAAGTTCCATTTGTGTGCTACTTAGTTTTCAAATTTATCGATCTTACATTTTCAAAGATGATTAATTGTGTCTCATATTTATTAGAACTACATATAATCCCCAAAGTCCCCTTACCTATAAATACGCCATAAATATCTAGACATAGTTTACGTATTTTTTAAATATATTTTTTAATCCGAACATAACATTAGTTAGTGATGACAATTTTTATTATACAGCTTTTGAAAATTTTTATTATAATATTTTTTACCAAATTTTACAAATATACATTTCATAATTAAATAATATCAATACCTCTCATTTTGATCTAAAATTGATTAAAAAAATTATGATTTTAAGAAATATTTATAATTATATTATTTAATTAATTCTTTTGAAATACACAATTTTCAACGTTGACAAACTCGTGCAAAGTGGGGGACACATACTAGTAACTAAGAACGAAAGGAAAGAGAAAATTCAAGAGAGCAAGACAATAATTTTCAGTCCAGAAAAAATAACTTTAGAAATTTTTAAACTTGTATATATACATCCCCTGTTCCCTAACCATCCAAAAAATGACATACAAAACTCCCGCCAACTCTTTTCCCCTGCATTTCTCAAACTGAACCAAAAACCTCCTCAGCGCCAAATGATCTGCAGAGCAATTTCTGCAGCGCCTCAACGTGACAGGAATTTCTTTCTAGCTCTACTCCAAAACGCCATAAATCTCTCACAACTCAATCAAATCCATGCTCAAATCATTCTCACGGGCCACAGTACAGATCTAGCTACACTAACCAAGCTTACCCACAAACTGTTTGATGTTAAAGCCGTATCCCAAGCCAAGCTTCTCTTTGCCTCTCTCGCCAATCAAATATCTCCAGATAAATTCCTTTACAATGAACTCATCAGAGGCTTCTCACAGAACGGTTCCCCATTGGATTCAATTGCAGTTTATTCACATCTTCGCCGGAAAACCGATATGCAACCCGATAAATTCACGTATTCTTTTGTTGTTCCGGCTGTTGCCTCATCTGGGTTTCAAAAAGTTGGGATTTTGCTTCATGGGCATGTTCTGGTTTCTGGGTGCGGTTCGGATGTGTTTGTGGGGTCAGCTTTAGTAGATATGTACATGAGTTTTTCGAGAACAAGGGATGCTTTCAAAGTGTTTGAAAAAACTCCTGAAAGAGATGGAGTTCTTTGGAATACTATGGTCTCTGGTATGGTGAAGAATTTCTTTTTTCACGAAGCGGTTTGTATTTTCCACGATATGGTTGTGGAAGGGGTAAAGTTTGATTCAACTACGTTGGCCATGGTTCTTACTGCTGTTGCTGAGTTGAAGGAGTTGAGAGCGGGAATGATGATTCATTGTTTAGCTATGAAAGTTGGATTCCATTTGGATAATTATGTTCTCACTGGATTAATTTCATTTTACTCCAAATGTGGTGATGTTTCTAGTGCGAGGTGGTTGTTTGGACTTATTAGGAACCCAGACTTGGTTTCATATAATGCTATGATTTCTGCTTTTTCATGTAATGAAGGGACAAAATCTGCAGTAGAACTGTTCAAAGAATTGCTCAACATGGGTAAGAAAGTTAATTCTAGTACCATTGTTGGCTTGATTCCAGTTTCTAGACCTTTTGGTCATTTAAATCTTGCAAAATTAATCCATGGCTTCTGCATTAAATCCTCTGATGTTCTTAATTCTTCCGTTTCAACTGCTCTCGTCACCGTGTATAATCGACTTAGTGAGATTGAATCTGGTAGGCAGCTTTTTGATGAGTCCCCAGACAAAAGCTTGGCATCATGGAACGCAATGATATCAGGTTATGCACAAAATGGATCTACAGAAATGGCTATAGCTCTTTTCCGAGAAATGCAGATGCTTGACGTTCCTCCAAATCCGGTAACAGTTACCAGTATTCTTTCAGCATGTGCTCAGCTTGGAGCTCCAAGTTTGGGCAAGTGGGTCCATGATTTGATCAAGAAGGAGAAGTTTGAGTCCAATATCTTCGTGTCAACCGCTCTGATAGATATGTATGCAAAGTGTGGAAGCATTGAAGAGGCTCGTGCAGTCTTCAACACCATGCCAAAGAAGAATGTGGTGACCTGGAACGTGATCATTTCTGGATATGGGCTTCATGGTTTCGGGCATGAAGCACTTTCATTGTTTGATGAGATGTTAAAAGGTGGAATTTCCCCAACTGGAATTACCTACCTTTGTGTTTTGTATGCTTGCAGTCATGCTGGTTTGGTAGAAGAAGGGAAAAAGATTTTCCACTCCATGGTCCACGATCATAATCTTAAGCCCTCAACTGAGCATTATACATGCATGGTAGACCTACTGGGCAGATATGGGGAGTTGGATAATGCTTTGAGATTTATAAATGAGATGCCTATTGAACCAGGACCTGCTGAATGGGGTTCACTATTGGGTGCTTGTATGATTCACAAGAATACTAATCTTGCTCGCTTGGCTTCTGATAAACTGTTTGAATTGGACCCTGAGAGTGTAGGATACTATGTTTTACTCTCAAATCTATACTCAGCAGGCCGCAATTATCGACAAGCTGCATCTGTGCGTCAAGTGGTTAAGAAGAAAAATCTATCCAAGATCCCTGGTTGCACTTTGATTGAGGTTAATGGACATCCACATGTCTTCACTTCCAATGACAAGTCTCACCCTCAGAGTGAGGCAATTTATGCAAAGCTGGAAGAGTTAATGGGAAAGATGAGGGAAGCAGGATTTCAGGCTGAAACTATTATAGCTTTCCACGATGTAGAGGAGGAAGAAAAGGAGTTAATGGTTAAGGTCCACAGCGAGAAGTTGGCCATTGCTTTCGGACTAATAGTGACTGAACCAGGATCTGAGATCAGGATCATAAAGAACCTGCGGGTTTGTTCAGACTGCCACAACTTCACAAAGTTTGTGTCGAAAATCACTGAGAGAGTTATTGTTGTAAGAGATGCTAACAGATTTCACCATTTCAAAGATGGTTTATGTTCTTGTGGTGACTATTGGTGACAATGCCTCCAAGATGTTAATACTATTGTGAATTCAATTTCTGTGATTAAAATCTATTCATTCAATGATTTAACTCTACTGGTTACATCATCTGCTGGATAAGTATTTTTCGGCTGTTTATCATTGTAAGTGAAATTTCCATAGAAGCTGTTTTCTTTATAATCTGGCACAATGCTTTTCTGAACTTTCATTTTGATAAACAGAGTGAAGATCGTAATCTTTTTGTTCTGTTAAACTCTGTTGATGTTGCTTGTAGTACTGACAGAATCTTTTTTGACTGTTTTCTGACTCTGGTTGCAGTTTCAATATCTTTGTGCATAATCCACTAAACATGGAGAAGGATTCCTCAGACAATAAAGCTAGCCAGGTACAAGCTCCCACATTTTAACCAGACTTCATTATTGGGTTGTATGAATGGCCCTTACATATGTGAACTTGCTGCTGTGTGGATCCTGAATCGTAGCTCTGTGTCGCAACCTTAACTTATCTCAATAGTTTGTCTGTTCACATGTTATGTAAGAAAAATAATTACTCAATATTTACCCTGGGTTGAAAGATTGTGTTTTTATGAGCTAATTCAGTTCATTTTCTGAAAGAATCTTTATGATCCACTTCTTCATCAAACTGGTGGGATCTCCAAGTTCAAACCAAAATGAAGAACATATAATAGAGATGAAACAACTTTGCTTACTGAGCTGCACAGTTTTAGCAAACATATTCTGCATCATGTCTTTTTCCATCATGTACAAAATTGCATATATTTCTAGTGCTGAAAATAAATTCACATTTGACTTATTCTCTCATCTGTGACCACCTTGCTGGGTCATAAAATAGACCTTCAATACTCAATTGTAGGCAAAACTCATCTCTTCTACATAGAACATTCTTCAAGATTCTGCTTGTTTCAGCAGTTGATGCCACATTGTTTCACATCAGGGCCCTTGGTTTTCAATACAAATGGGTCTATGCGTACCCACAGCAAGGAGAATATTGAAGCCAGTAGTACTGACCAGATGATGACTATAGTGGGTGTCCTGTTTTGCTTTCCCATTAGACCTTTAAGGAATGGATAGAGATGAACAATCACCCAGAAGGCAAAGAAAAGCTTTCCAAATAGAGGACCCCATGATTGGTAGCCATTGTTTATGGCATCAGAGATCCCAGCGACCACACCAACCAGGTTAATTATTAAAATAGTTGTCGGAGGAATTAGGAGGGTTGTCCATTTGAAAGCATATAACTCGCCAAACTCTTCATCATCAGTGGCCTTAGATGTTACTGTGAAATTGGTATCGATCCCTGCTAAAATCTTGAGAAGACCTTGAACAACTGCAAACAGGTGAGCAGAAACTCCACCAATGACCCAAAACTGTTCGTTTCTCCACCACTCCTCGATGCTGACTCCACTCCACCTTAGCTCAAGGATGCCAGTTGCAAAGATTGAGAGGAAAAGGGCAATGAAGAATAGACTTGCAAAGGTGCTTATCTGCATAAAGGACAAACCAAAACAGGATTACTGTAGATGAAGGAGGACTGACACAGAAAAGGATAGAGATTCCATGTATAGCAAAGAAAGTTCAACATTTTTAGTTTTATCTTAAAAGAGGCCTACAGTTACGATGTTTATAAAATAGAGGTTCAGTTAATGGTCTTACCTCTGGCATTATGAATTTTCCGGTGAGTAAGCAGATTGCAGGAAGTGTACAGTAGGCAAGGAGGGGTATGGAGGTGAAAGGATAGACAGTAGTATTTATGTATGCAAATCGCTCAAGCCACTTGAGGTTTCCTCCTTTGTAACCATACCAGACAGGACTGTGTCGGCTGAAGAAGATCTCAACAGAACCAAGAGCCCATCGAAGCACCTGGTTCAGACGATCGGATAGATTGATTGGGGCAGACCCCTTGAATGCTGCTAATTTAGGCATACAGTATATTGATCTCCAACCCCGACAGTGCATCTTGAATCCTGTCAGGATATCCTCAGTGATAGAGCCATAAATCCAACCCAACTGCAAGTATTAGAGCCTCTGGTATTAATTAACAGTTGATGAAAGCAAGATGCATTTGATGAGTATATACAGTTATGTAGAATTCATACTGTAGTGGACCAAAAAAGAAACCTAAACCTGGTGTACCGAGAATTTTGGTAAAATTTACGACTGTAACAATTTTTATGACTGGAAATATGAATGTTATCAAGTTTCTTATTGATAAATTTTGTAAGAAGTTTCTATGAATGTCCAAGTACCTCAGTACCCCATTCTGTTTTGTCCTCGTAACCGCAGCTGATCACATGTATAGCTTCTTTGAGCAGGGCAGCTGGGCTGGAGGATGGTGGTACGCCTCCATCAATCATCAAGGTAGAAGTCACAAAAATTGCTGATTGGCCAAATTTCTTCTCGAAATTCATTTGAGACATCAGTATTTCCTTATCATCATCATATCCTGGTTCAGAAACAAAAATTAAGTCATGCTTTGAGCAAAAACATTCAGAATAGAGAACTTCAGTGATGGCAGTATTTGTTAGCCAACGACGTTAACCTTGAACTGCAGTGTCTCCTTTCACTCCGTGTTTACTGTATTTGGGAAGCTTCTTCCTTCTTCCAAAACAAGGACAACAGTCGCAGCTCACCATTTTGGGGCGTTTGGAACCCTTTGGTGGGTCGTAGCCATATAAAGCTTGTCTTCGGAAGACGCATCCTGTGCCAACATAAACAGGACCTTGGATACCATCAAGCCCTTTCATGTTAATCTGTCAAAGGAGACAAGAAAGAGATGTGTGAAACAGAAAGATGAGTTGAGAAGGTTGGCTGTCTAGCTTATATGCTAAATGGCGAAAGTTGAAATCATTACTACTCTGCAAAAGTTGAAAATGTGTTAAACTGGACACTGGATAGTTCTTTTAAGGAAACTCACATCAAAGAAGACTGTGTTTCTGTTTGCATATCGATCATGTCTGTCAATCCCATCAAATCTTTGAGGAAACTGGACATAGCAAACCTTCTTTCCAAGCTGGGGATCCATCAAAAAGCACATTGCCTCTCTCACTGCTCTGCTGTTGTTTATGTAGTGATCACAGTCCAAGTTCAGCATGAATGGTGCATTGGTAAGAACACCAGAGACACGAACCTGTAAAAAATCGTTCTCAACTGACAATGTATTTGTAAAAATTAACTCTTCTTTTACTAATTGACGCTATCATAATCCTTACCAGGGCATTCATGGCACCAGCTTTTTTGTGATGTTGGAAACCAGGCCTCTTCTCACGAGAAACATAAACAAGCCTTGGTAGTTCATTACCTTCAATGTCAGGGCCTCCACTATGTCCTAGAAAGACTTGAATCATGCCGGGATGATCCTTAGTGTTGTTTCCTGGCCATGGTGTCCCATCTTTCATGATCCACCCCTCTGCAGGAACTTTCATGGCTTTAGCCACCAGTGCATTAATCCTGACCTTAAACTCTTCGTACTCCCTCTGTCACATTAAGTAAAGTTATTTGTCAGACTTGCATTCAGAAATGACCAAAATCTTTGTTTTTCTGAAAGATGATTTTCATGAGATAATCTTACCTTCATCGCTCTACGCTCCTTAACAAACGTTGGCTGCACCTTGTCCTTTAAATAGTCAATTTTGAGAGAAAAGTACATCTCAGGTGCACGAGGCTCGATGGAAAATTTCTTGCAGAATGGAACCCACTTCCGAGCAAATTCTGCAGTTTCTGATAAAGCTTCGAAGGTACACATTTTGGCTCCATCATCAGATATGTAGCACGAGATTTTGTCAACTGGGTAGTCCATTGCCAGTATTGAAAGAACTGTATTTGCTGTAACAAGTGGAGGTTCCTTCATTGGATCAACTGTACTGACAAAGACATCTATTGGAGCTAGCATATTAGGCTCACCTTCCCTCTCATACCTGTATGAGAATAGGTTATGAACTTCTAAGTTTTAGTTCTCTATGTTTGAAAAAATTATCATTTGTATGAATCATGCCTTCATTTTTATTAAAAAGAGAAATTATGAAGCTTGGGATGGACTATAATTTACTTTTTGAAACGACATTGCATATTATCTCTTTCAACAGTTGCTAGTATCCTAGATTTTTCGCTAAATTTTCCAACAAAATGATGTAAAATGTGCTAATTCAGGGTCTGCAATTCTCACCTGAGAGAAAGGCGGTCCAGATAAGTCTCTCTATTGATCGGGAACCACTTGGGAAACTGATCAAGAATCCATGAGAAGGCAAACCAGATCTCACATATGATTGAAGTAAGCCACAGTCCAAGTGCATCATGCACAGGGTTAAGAATTCTATAACGGAGGAAAAATGCGAGGACCACAAGCCTAGTCACAATGATCATCCGGTAAGGATTTATCAAGCTTGATGCAATTGGTACTTTCCTTGACAATGGCTGTCTTGATTCATCTACCCTGCATTTTTAAAAAAAAATTAAAAGAAAACATAGATTCAGTTAAGCTGACTGATCCATCTTCTGATGGCCAGAAATCGTCATACATCATTAGTAGACATTTTTCATTTATGTAAATGACCTAACTAATCATAGAAGCTCCTGTATAAACCAAATGGTTCAAAGCATATGTTTTGGCAGAGAAATCATACCATTTTCATACCTTTACTAACTTCAAAAAGAAAGATTATCTATTTGAGTTTTTGTAGTAATCTAAGCAGGTATACATATCTGTAAATTGAATACGTACATGGCCATGTCCGGATCCGCAGATTCATCATATTCTGCTCCTAGATTTCCTTGTTGATGCATCTTCCAATCTTCCATTCTTTCTTTCCAGCCTCCACCTTCATTATCATCCCATCTTGCACTTCCTGTATTGCAGCTTAATGAATTGTAGGATACCAACTAATAGCACGTCTCTATGATCCTAAGTAGTAGTATTTGTTTGAGCTTAATAAATTACCAGGCTCAGGGGATGGATATGGATGTACTCGTTTGTGTAGAGAACCACCCAACATCTGCTCTCCATTGGCGTGACTAGATATCGGAAATTCACCACTCACCTGCATGCATGAATAAGGAATTGGTTTTCATTCAAATTCCATAAGAAAACGAGTGTCTCACTGAACCTAATTTGGAAACTGTTTACTGCATCAAGCATTGATCGCTCATGAATCATGATGATTGTTTACATTCAACAAAATAAGGGACAAATGTATAAATTTGATGCATAAAAATGAAAAACCCTTTCAGGTATCAAGATTATGTTTTCTTTTCTTACAGGCCGAGAGCGGACACCAGCAATGACAGGAGGGTATTGAGCAGTTTCTTCATCTTCAGGTCCTCTTCCATAACTCATCTTGCCATGAAGTAGCGCTTCAGCAATTTGTGTGTTCTTGTTTCGCTGATGATCATCAATGTTGAATTCGTGCTCAATGTCATCAATGTCTTCCTCATCATCATCTCCTTCCACCCTTGGACTCCCTACATGACATATTCAAAATCTCAAATAATTTTCTTTCTGTTCAGAAGATGGCCAAATGAAAGTATATATGCATGCAGATGACAATACTGATAAAACTTTTCTAAGGTTTCATCAACTTTCAAAGTAGCCTGACACTTTCATTACCCTTGAGTCGTTTGTATCTCGTCTTGCACTGAGGGCAAAGTTGGCTGCCTTCTCTCCTCTCATATTCATAACATGGCCGGCACACCGGAAAACCACACTCATTACAAGCCACAAACAGATCTCCATCAACTGTTAAACCGATTTCATCATTGCATATCTCACATACTTGACCAGTTAAATCCTTCAAGGGCTTAGGCTGCAATGATCGAAGCAAACAAAATTTTAGCGACACATTCGTGTATCATGGCCAAGCGCAATGTTCACATTTACCTCTTCATGGCCCTGAATGACGACAAGCTCATTCCGGTTATGAGAGCCGGCGACAAGTCCGGCACTGGCTTCCATGGCAGAGATCAGCTAGAGAGAGTGATGGAAAACTAGGAACAGGACTGAAGTATTAGTACATGGAAGAGTTCTTTTTAAGGAATAATGAGGGAAGTGTTAGTATCCTCGTGTATCAACATCTGGTTCTCTATCTTTCCCTACCTACTAATATGGTGTGTGCAATATTAGGAGGAATGTCGTTGGTTGCAGAGTCCTCTTTGCCTCCAAGCAAAGCTTCCCCTTTGTTTCAACTTTCAACCACCTCACACATTCTTTTTGCTTCTTTTTCTTTTTTTTTCGCCATAATTGATGTACATTTTTTTTAAAAAAAATCACATCTTAATACAATCATAGTGATTTTTTTTTTTTTATAACTCTAGAAACCCACCAGAAATGAGTAAATCCACGCTCACTAAAATAACCTGCAAATCACAGTGGGAGATAAACCACCTTAGGCAAGCCGAGGTGATGTTTAATATTTTTATTTGATCCAAGACATGCACTTGATCATCTGATTTAGCCTAATCTTTGTCAAATTATTTACCTTCAGCTCTTCCTCTCTTTGGAACTCTCAGAGGGTCCATATTTCGTTTGTAATCACTAGACATATAATACTGACATCTCATCTGAAAATTGAGAAAATATCGTCAAACGAACGTAACGCTTTATCAATTTTATATAACATTAATATTTCAAGATTTAAGGTTAGATAGTCCAAAGCTTTGAATTTAATTTTGCAAAATTAATCTATCCAAATCGGGCGTGGGAGGAAAAAAAAAACTAAAAATAATACATCAATAAAAAAGAATTCTTTGTATTCCGAGTATTAGAAGTCTAGTCCGGAGAGTGCACAATTTTGACTTTCAATGTAAATGCCAATAAACAAAATTTAGTAGCGAAGGTTAAATGATGACGAGGTTAATACTAATTAGGATTAGCTCATGAGAGTGTGACTTCTATTCACCATGATTTTGTCAAAGTACAGATTTTTTAGTCAACCTCTCTTTGGGGGAGAAAAATGAAAAAGTAGAGTAAGAGGAGATAAACCTCTCATGATGGTTAATTTGTTCAATATATCTCAAATATCTCGTACAATGCATTGAAAAGTTTATCAAACTTGTTCTTTCATGATCATTGCAAAACAATCCGTTCTAAACTCCTAATAACATGCCGATTTGAGAACTCCCTTTGTTAGATCCCATCTTCTTTGTTTGTTAGGTTTTTTTATAGTATTTTTAAAATATTTAAATGATAACTGTCTCATCCCAACATACCTTTTTACATTTTTAATACACTTTTTTACATTCTCAATACAAAAAACATCTAAAACACACACACTAAAAAAACGAAATAAACATATGAAAAGATGTAATTTCATTTTAACAATAGGATTTTCATATTTTATTATGTATGATGATACATTTACGAACAAGGGATGCTACCTTCTATCTCATATTGACAGTCCATTTTGTTGAAATAAAATGATACTATAGAGTAGGATATACATATAAAACTACAGTTCCATTGAGTGAATATGTTCGATCAATTTTCCATTAGATTATATCACAATTATAATAACCCGCGCAGAAGTCACTGGATCAATGATTGAACCATCAACATGACACCAGATTTTTTTTTCCCCAAAATTTTCAGCTAAAATGATATTTATTTACTGATGGCCCTAATGGGATATGTTAAGTACACGAAATTGAGACAAGCAAACTAATCTCTGTATTAGTTAAGAGCTAGAGGATGGAGAATGCTTGGCCATGAAGTACTTCAAGAGTAAGTCATGCACAACTGTCCTGTTCTGCTGGAGAAAAGTTTGGTCAGTGAGTTGGATATTCTGCATCAGGAAAGACAAGTTTCACCATTGGCCCTTCTGTAAGTTTGAAACAATCCTGAAATCCTGAGCCTAAGGAAAATTGAACTTCAAGGTTCATCATAAACTTCGGATGCATATGATTTTGAACCTTTCGAAAACAAACGCTACACCATATCACCCGTATCCAGATAGAAATAAAGTTTTTTTTCTTTAGAGCATGCATCAGAAGGAAATCGAGGAAGGGGAAATCGGGTGCTATAGGATGATTACAACAAAAATGAAGTTGAGAGTCACGACTAATGGCAAAACTATTTACACCTAAGGGTGTGTTGAACTAATTCTATACAAATGGTCGAACTCCTACCTAGTTTCCCATTCATCTAGTGTGCACAAAATGCGTATGCTCCAAACTAACTTCCCGCTAATAAGAGGATCAAAATGTGTCGCAAGTTACATATAGATTACTCCTGAAACGGGCTTAAACACTAGCTGACACTTCAGTTGCTGCGACATCAGTTACCGCAGATTTATCCTTTTTCTTTGGCTCTTCCTTTCCTTTCTGCAGAACAGCCTTGTTTGGAACTAAAACTACAAACAAGTTTCGATCCTTGAAATTTTTGGCCTCTTCCGTTGCCAACTGCACATTTGAATACGTAGGAACAGGAAACATTCAGTTGAGGAAGAAAGACAAAGAAACCAAATTAACTACAAAGCATTGCTGACTGAAATAGTACAATCTCAAGCAATTTTCTTCATTTCTTTTAAGAAAGCTCAACCAAAATAGTAAAATAGTAAACACATATGTGCCCGCGTCCCCCGTCCCAAAAAAACAAAACCAGATAATCTAACAAGCATAGAATGGTGCAGCGAGGAAACTACTAACAAATTAGAAAGTAACCCAATAACCACAGCTAACACAACTAAGAAGAATCAAATTCCCATCCACCACGCGTTCAGTTCTCTACAGATGTAAAAATGACTACATATGCAGAATTGAAAATTGTGAACAGCACAGGCAGTTGCACTTGCACAATCACTTGTAGGATGAAAGTGGGATTGAAAATATTGTAGAAACTAATTGTAACATCATGATGACAAGGGTTTCTGATCTGCTCAACAATAAAAATTAAAATTAAGTCCTTGTCCCGCTATGTGTCATCGACTATATAGAATATCCCACTATTGCATTATACAAGAACATACTGCTTTATTTGTCTAGTCAGATATTTTATGGCTTTCATAATACGATCATTTCCAAATTCGTGGGGCTTTCCATTGCACTTTCAGTTTGCTTGATAATTCTATATTCTCTGCGCGTTATACCAATGCACTGAAAAATCTCAAACGCACATCTAAATCACGTGTTTATCACAGTTCCTATGAGCTGGATTACATTCCTTTATTTTCTCTAACACAGTCATTGATTCAGTCTACTTAATGTAGTTTCTTCCTTTAAAAAAAAAATGAGTAAAGAAAATCAGCAGAAGTATTAAACACAAAATGATATATCTGAGGCTTATATATTTGTCCCTTAACTATGATGCCTCAAACTTCACTTCAATAACCAAACCAAACCCAAAATGAATCACTTATTCATTTTTATGACCAGGTTTCCATTTTACTCTGATGAATTTCTTCTGCCATTTCTTCCTCTCAGCCACTCCTCCGACCAAGGCCAACTCCGCATACAGCCTCCAGGTGATTCTCTCATGCCTAATGGCACCCCCACCATCCACCCCCAGCTTCTTTTTCCCTAACATAGCAGTACTTCAACCCAAGCAGCTTGCCGAAATGTAAAATTTGCATGTAATTTTCTACCCACGCTACAAAATCATACCCTCAAAAACATTAGCTCCACATTGGGTCCTCAACTATCTATGCCAGCTTCTAACCACATCGAAAGTTAAACCCTGTTTCTAGCGTTCCACTACTCAATTTGTGACTGTCATTATGGCATCTACTCAAATAATTAAATTAGGCCATAGAAAGAACCGTTATGGTTTAAGATACTATGTAGAAACAACCCATTTTTAGCAAACACCACAAACTGCTAACAATAAGATAAGCCAACCTATCTAAGTTTTGGTAATGTTTGATTCAAAACCAATTGGAAATACCTCTCCCACATCATTCTGGAAACGTTTGATAAGCTCAATGGCATTATTTCTGAACTCCTTTTCCCGGCCTTTTAAGCTCACAACGACTTTAACCTTCAAAAGTTACCAAAACAATTAACAAGGTAATTCTTTACCAGAACAGGAAAACACCAGTATTTCGGAAAATCAACCTTATCACCATCTTTCAGAAATCTCTGAGCTGCCCTCAAACGAACAGAATAATCATGCACGTCAATATTATACCTGTCAAGAAGTTACTCATGGATATTAGAATAACAAAATCACCTGTGTAAAGAAATATGGGCATGATGTAGAAGCATTAAAACAAAGTTAAGAAAATCACATCACAGCCAAACTACAGAGTATGATGCCCACTTAAGTACAGATCTAAAAGACAAGTTACCTTTACAAATACCCAAGCAACTATGATTCATAAAATGAATTAGAATAAGCTAATTCAACCAAAATACAAATAAACAAAACATAGCCAAGAAATAACTGAGGGTGACTTTATATCACCACTACATTTTAGCTTCAGCACACCACAAAAGAACAGGTAAGGAAGCAATTAGGGGCATCTACACATCAGTTTCTAACCACAAAAGTAACCTGTGGTTGGAGTAACGAATAACTGAAGCTAGGGATGAAATGTTTTTTCATGGACAGATTTAGTAAGGGCATCCAACTAAAGTATATTAAAAAGTGGATTAGCAAGACACTTATCTTAGATTTTCAAGAGATGGCAGAAATATTTTAGGATAATCAAGTTAGAATTGCTAAAATACAGTTGACTGTGAGCAAAATTAGGATGACTTGATACCAAAGCAAGATAGATATAACTTAATGTTACGCAGACTTAAGATAACTTGTCTCTAAGCACTGTAGAAAGAACAATTCAAGATTTAAGCAACTAATCAGGAAAATCAAACTGCCATGCTATAGGGCTCCGCTACAAGGAAACTTTAGATGTCTTGGTTCCCAAATCTTTATAGCTTGACTTCGTTTAAGTTTGTCAAAAGTCTACTTCCACATAAGACAAATGAAGAGACTGCACTTGATATCATGGAAGCAGAACTTTAAGTTTCTTTTCTTTTTCCTAATTTTCAGGTTTGCTGTCAATATTGACCTATCCTTCATTCAACACATTAATACTATTGAATTATGTTGCAGTAGCGAAGGACTAATTCTTTTCCTAGTATTACTAGTTCTATATGCTGTGAAGGGGATGAATGGGACTGGTCACATGAGTTCTAGATATTCAAACCTAGCCTGAAGAACAATCCCATGATGCTAACATGACAACTCATGAAACTATCTTGGTATCAGCAATGCCTTCCACTACTGCTAGGTTCACGGTTCTTTCCACCAAAATAAGGTTTGTCTAAGGCCCTCTTCCAGTTTAATGTTCTACTGTTCCCAAACCAGGGAACTTATTTACAACCCAGAAATGGACAGCAAAAGCCATATAAACTCAAAAGATTACTACAGACAAGGAAATACGATCCGTAAAAAGCACAAGTCCAAACCTTTCAAAACCCAAGAAAACAAACCATATGCGTGGCTAACAGTTAAGATGGAAAAAAAATTAAAAATTTAAGATTAACAAGTTAATAAGATCGGAGTTAAGTATCAGTATATTCAAATGTTTCAGTTAAGTCTGGCAAAACAGCCGTCACATAATCAACTAACTGATAACAAATCAAAAAATTACAACGGGTAACTTACCCCATCTTGAGTTCTTTCAAATCCATACGAACAGCTGTCATGTAAACCAACACTCTCATCAATTCTAGTGTCTAAAACTACACAGTTACACATGAAACAAATATTAATAAACTGTACTAAAGGAGAATATCAACCAGTACCTTTCTTTTGCTGCACCTTTTTCTTCTTTTGTTGCTCATACCTGTACTTGCTGCAGAGTTCACAAAAAAAATGCTTGGCTATAATATAAAACTCAAAAATAGAAGTCTGCAAAAGTAACATGCATATAACCAACAGTTAACTACACATTCACCAAGTAAGAATCTATACAAAAGCTAGTACTAGTACACAATCCTGTTATCCATCCGCAGTGAGATATATTTCAAATCAGTTTCAAAATCAACTAACTGTACGAGAAACCTTTTATCTATTAGAAAGGATCTGCTAATTTAATATTAACCGAGAAATGCAAACCAAATGACTTGAACCATGCTTGAGACATCAGAACATTCAGAACTAAGGTTTGGTAAAAGAGTATATCTAGCGAGCTTATTTCAGCAGAGGTTATGACTAATATTTTTCAGGTAATTCATCAAAATCCAGTGCAAAATTTCCTAACTTTAGACTGATTTGACTCTTCGACTTAGCTCATGTTAACATCAGTGAAGCAACAAACACACCCCAAATTAAATTTCTCAACCACACAAGGTGAACTTTAAAGAAAGAACTTAAAGCATTTCAAAAGAGCAAATATTCGAATGGTCCACGGCATGTTAGAGACAGGTTCCAATAGCAGAATGGCACAAATTACTCATCATTGTGACACAAATTAATTTAACGAGAAAAAAATGGCCCATACTTTCAAGTTCCAGTTTACAGAAGGCAAGAATTCTTTACGAATCGATCAAAAAGATATTAAAAGATCATCATTTGAGACGGAGGGGCATGTAAATTAAATATTCCCATACTTAAAAAGTCAAGATTAAGAGCCAAATTAAGTTTCCTCATAAAACAATGTACATTGCTTATTCAATTCATGAAGCACAAAAAGGAACCAACTCAGCCATAATCCATACAAGAATGCAAAATGATATATCTTACTTGTAATCCATTATTCGAAGAACAGGAGGATCAGCATCAGGTGATAATATGACCTAAAAAAGATCCAAATAACCAGAGTCAATTTGTTAAAGGGCACAATACTCAAAAGTATGGTACCAAATTTTAGTTGAATTGTTATGTTAAGTTGTTATTGTAAACAATCAAAAGCATTAGAAGTACTTGCTCTTTACATCACTACTAAAGAAATAAAAAGATGTTGTCAAGCTCAGTTGATCTCAAAATTTCAGCTTGCAGTATAAACATGTGAAACTTCACCTATACAATTGTTATTGAGGTCAATGGCAGCACTAGTATATGACTTGAACATTAAGTGTTGACACCAACAGAAAGCATATGCAAACTATTTGATGTCCCCATAATGTCATACCAGGCTAATGGCAATTACGTATAGTTAGGCTTGACCAAGTTCAAGAATACAGATCACAGAATTTAAGGTGAAGTTTCAAACTATCCTGATATAATTATGGCACAATACTCTGAAAACAATATTACTACCTCAATGTTACCTAAATTCGATAGCATTAAGCACAATAGTGATGAATGATGATTAAATGCATCGAAGAGGCACGTGGGAACATTTTAAAAAGGGCATTTCCCGCACTCCCAAGATAAAACCAAGTCTTCGGGTTCTTAGCCTTGCACATAAAGCTTATATTTTTACTTAATAATGCAATGTTTCTCGTCCTAGATTCATCAACAAGTATATAATGCTTCATAAAGAAAGATGAAGTAAATCAATATATGTTGGACCCTGATCATCAGTTTGAGAACAACGTTAATAACGATTTGGAAATTTTTATTTCTACTTTGAATTTAAAAACCAACAAGTGGAAGCACACGTTAGCTGCATAAAGTTTTGAACATACCAAGTCGAGCTGAGCATCTTCGGCCATTTGAATAGCCACATTTTTCTTCACTATTCCAACCTACAATGTAAGAGCAACAAACCAATTCAATATACATTATTCCAACATAACCGAAAAAAAAAAAAAAAAAAAGTCCCATAGTCAAGAGTTACAAGACAGGCATTAAGCAGCTTACATTGTTTTGCTCTTCATCAATGAGCCTTACTTGATCAGACCTATTTTCAAAGTTCAAACAATTAACAAAATATGGTGGGAAACTTCACAATTTAGGTCCTAATAATGAACCAAAAAACAGAAACAACTTTCTAAAATTTTCCGCCAGAGCTGATTTTAAAAACTCAAATATACACAAAGAAGGGTACCTAATGGAGGAGATATCGAGGACTGGGTCTTCTTCTGGTGGGCGCTTACGAAGATTGCCTCCACCACCACCGCCGGAGCGGCCGGAAATGGAAATTTTGCGGAAGCTGACACAAAGGGGGAGCCGGATGGTGGAGGGGTTGTGGAGTCGGAGACGGAGGCCAAAAAAGTAGGAAGAAGGGAAAAGGGTTTTGTGGGAGTTATTAAGAATGGGTTTGACGAGGAATGTGCTGGTGCTGAGACCAGCCATGGCGGAGGCGGTGGTGGAGGGTAGCTGACAGGGGAGCCAAAGTGGTGGGTGTTGCGGTGTGAAGCTAAGGCACCGAGTGGAGCTCCTTATCCATACTTTTTCCTTTTTTTTTGTTTTCTCATTTTTTTTTAAGTTTATTTCTCAAATAAAATTTCAATATTTTGCATCTTACAGTATTATAATTTAAAATTTTAACGCATTAAATAAATAATAATTGGAGAGAAAATAAAAATTAACTGCTAAATATTTTGTAATTTCAGAAATTAAGTGATTAGACTTTTCTTGGAATAATGAATGAGACAAAAACTTTTCATATTTTGCAAGTGAAAATTTTCCACTAAGTGGAATTCCAACCACTAAGTAAAATAAAAATAACATAAAAAAAAAACTAATCTTTTCCTTTTTTTTAAAGATTAAAGTATTATATTAAAAGATTAAAGAGGGGTACTTGTACACATTGTTTGGTAATAGGCAAGCCTATGTACCTCTTTTACTTGACATCTATCTACTTTAATTAAAGTACATATAACAAACTTATGTTTTAGCTGAATAATTTCACCTATTAGAATCTGAGCTTCTACGGGGAAATCCAACTCAGGCAAATATTGCGCTTCGAAAGCACTACAGTCTGTATATACCGTAACATTCGTAAGACCCAATTGTGATGAGCTTGGAGGGCCAATTCACACGCTTGTGCTTCAGCTTGTGAGGCCGATAAAGCTTGTATTTGGACCGCTTTTATTTGTAAAATTGACCCTGTTGAGGATTTGATATTCCAAGCAGTACTTGCACGTCCTGTTAACTGTCGGTAGGATCCATCAAAGGTAATTAATGCTTGGCAACCTAGTAAATTCCACCCACTCAAATTAACTGAGGTAGCGTTGGCTTCTTCAGTTTCTAAATTCATCTCCTCCTATCTAGCCTTGTCGAAAATTTTTTTGTTCATTTGGAAATCCTCAAACGCCAACCTCCAGACCAGATTGGGATCAAGTTGCTTTCCTTCCCAGACTTTGCGATTTCGCGAGATCCAAATCCACCAAACAAGATGGGCTACCAGAGACCAACTATCCTCCATCGATGGTGTTGCCAGCCAGTTTTCAATCCAAGATCGAAACAAGATTGGAGGGTTGGAGGCAAAGTGGCTCCTTAATGAAGAAAATTTCCAGATCTGGAGTGACCATTCGCACCCGAGGAAGAGATGATCCGTGCCTTCTTCCATCTGTTGGCATCGTGCACAAATCAGAGAAAGATCAACCCCTCGTTTATTCAGATCAATCAACGTTGGAAGCGTCGCCGTCAAAGCTCTCCAAGTCAGTAACTTATATTTAGCAGGAGCTTTCAATTTACACAATTATTGCCACATATTTCGAGTAGATACTGCGACATCAAGAGGATTTTTTCCTGTGATATTCATAGCTTGGTAGTATCCTGACTTAACTGTATACTGTCCATTTGGATTTGCTTGCCAAATGATCTTGTCATCTTGGTATGCTAGCTGAGGATTGATGTAGATACCTTGAATTTGGTATATGATATCGTCTGGAAAAAAAATTCGCAACATGCCTAGCTTCCATTGTCCACTTGTAGACAGGAGATCTTTAACTCTGTAATTTGCATGAGTGGCTAGTATTGAATCTGAATGGATTGGATTTACCTGATTTGGAATCCAAGTCTCATGGATTTTTATGCTTTTTCCTGAGATAACCTGTCATTTTGTCTGTGACCGTAGTAGCTCTACCCCCCAAAGGACCCCTTTGAGGCCCCATATTGTATTATTCACCTTACCTAGATGTAGGAGAGACTTATCATGGTAGTATTTCCCCTCATAGATCTGAGCAATCAAGGAATTTGGTTGAGTGACTGCTTTCCAAGCATGTTTAGCCAACATTGCTTGATTGAATTCTTTGGCTGATCTCAAACCTAAGCCTCCGTGTAGTTTAGAATAACATAATTTATGCCAAGCTCTCCAGTAAATTCCCCTCTCCTCCTTGTCTCCTTTCCATATAAAATGGGCAATTATTTGATCCACCTTTGTGAATGTTGAGACTGATAACTTGAACACTCCCATAGGGTACGTCATCATGGAGGAAAGTGTAGTCTTTGCTAACGTGATTCTACCCATGACTGAAAGCAATCTTGCCTTCTAGTCTGAAAATTTGGCCCGAATTTTCTTTTCAAAATGCTCAAATATCTTGTTTTTTGGCTGTGCAAAGTTGAGGTCAATTCCCAGATATTTTCCAAGGGAAGCCCCTTGTGGGATATTCAGGAATTGGTGGAAATATCGTTCCCAATCAGGGGGGTATTTGGACTGAGTAAAATACCAGACTTCTAAAAATTGACACTTTGTCCAGAAAACTTTGAATATGTTTGAATAGCTCTATTTAGTCCCTTGATTGCATCATTCTCCACTTCTAAAAAGAAAACAGTATCATCCGCATACATCAGATGGTTTATTTTCGGTGTATACCTGCCCAATCTAATACCCAAGCCCCTAATGGTTGTCGCCTCATGGTGGATGGTTGCTGACAGAACTTGCTGACAGAGAATAAACAGATGAGGGGACATTGGGCAACCTTGTCTCAATCCACGTCTTGGCCAAAATTTCCTTGAACTCTCTCCGTTAAACAGAATAGAGTAGGAGACTGTAGTTACACAACTCATAATAAGGGTAATTAAAGATGGAGGAAAATGTAATTGGATTAGCACTGCTTGCAAAAAATCCCAAGACACTTTTTCATAGGCCTTGGTCATATCGAGTTTTACCGCAGCCATTCCAATACACCCTTTTCTGTTCTTGATATGTTGAATAAGTTCGTGTGCAATCAGGATGCTTTCACTAATATATCTTCCAGGCACGAATCCATTTTGTTGTTCATCTATCAAGGAATCCATCACAAGCTTGAGTCTTGTCGTGATCATTTTTGCGATGATTTTGTATTTCACATTACAAAGGCCTATAGGACGGAAATCTGAGGCTTTCTTTGGGATTTGGACTTTGGGGAGAGAACTAGATTAGTTTGGTTCCATTCATCATCTATGCATTGTTGTTGACATGATTTTAGAACACTTGATGTGCCTAGACCTTTGACTTGCTGCCAGTATTTTTGATAAAATCTTGCAGGGACACCGTCAGGACCCGGCGTTTTCCAGGGGGCCATAGCTTTTATTGCTGCTAGGACTTAATCATTGTTGAAAGGTTGGCTGAGATATTGCACTTGTTCCGAGGTGAGCTCTCTTTGAATACGAGACAATACTTCTTGCAAATTTGTTGTCGGAACTTCATCATGATGTGAAAAAGGATCCGGATCAATGTAGATATGTTGAAAATGTCTTTGAATGATTTCATTTATGATCAGGGGATCATATTGCCATTCATCCTACTCATTTTGTAATACTGTGATCCACTTATTTCCTCTGTTTCGGGTAGCCCATTTATGAAAAAATTTAGTATTAATGTCTCCTTGTAGAGGCCAATCAATCTTTGCACGCTGACTCCAATAATCTTGTTGTAGCTGTAATGTTTCCTCTAACTCTAATTTGGAGTCATTTAATGCTTGCTGCGAAACCGGATTCTGTAGGTCATTTTCCCATTTAACCTGATTGTGTTGGAGCATTGCCATTAGCTCCTTAACTCTTTTGTCTAAACCACCAAACCTCTGCTGACTCCACTCACTAGCTTTAGTAAGACAGTTTTCCAGGCATGTTGAAAGATTGGTCGTAGGCTCATGGTCAACAGACTGATGTACCACTGCCTCTTTGCATATGATCTCCTGTACCTGCTTGCATTTAACCCAGAAAGATTCAAATTTAATCTGCCTCTTAGTTCGAGATGGGCTACCCTTAAGTTCTAGTAGAATTGGCCCATGATTGATCGCATGATAGGTAGATTGTGTAGATGAGCTTATGAAAGTGTTGTATCCAATCCTTGTTGATGAATACCCTGTCCAACCTCTCATAAATTTCCTCACCCCTTTTGTGGTTGTTGGACCATGTATACCAACACCCAAGGTGTTTCAATTCTGACAGAGAGTGCTTCTTGATTATGTCCATGAGCATGTTTGGCTCATTATTTGTAACAAATTGCCCTCCCCACTTATCTTCCTGACTTAGAACTTGGTTGAAATCCCCTACTAGAATGCTAGGGTACTGCAAATTGGCTAGAGCCATACTTAATTGCTGACATACAAAAGGTCGACCTTGTCTATGGGGATGTCCATACAAAAAGATGCCTAACTATTGTAATCTCCAAGGTTCGACAAACTTAGCGATAATAAAATTAGAGCTACTACTTAAGATAGACACCTTAATACTATTACACCAAAATAAACCTAAACCTCCACTTCTACCAACAGGATTAATTATAGTAGAATTCATAAAACTAGTACTTTGTTGCGACTGTCGCACTTTATCTTCCTCGGAAAGTGTTTCCATAAGAAACAGCACCTGAGGACGATATTGTTTAAGTAGTCGCGCCAAAGTTTGAGAAGTAGGGGTCTTTCGCAAGCCCCTACAGTTCCAACAGAGGACTCTCATTGAGATTGCAGCGATTGATTTGGTTCAATCGCCGGGAAAACCTTCTCTGCTCCTTTCTTGATTGCTGGTAGTGTGGGTGGTGGATATGGTTTCAGCTTCTTGCCCTTAGGAATAGTCATAGGCGTATCTGGTATGTTCCTCTTTTGGGCCAGTCATCCTTCCATCAGGCACTGACCAGAAAATAGTTGTGTCTATTTGAGTAAATAGGATAGGTACATCAGACCAGGTAGAGACTTTTCGTATGATTCTGCGATGACTGTTACCCCAGTTGTGACTTGTTTTCCGAGTCCTCTGAGTTCTCTTTTTCCTGATTTTATCCATCTACCTCAGCCTGCCAGAATCACTTTCAGCATCAGAGAGTAGCTCAAACAAGGCTGAAGTAGATGCCTGATATGGGTTAAGCTGGATCAGGGAGCTGCTCGAGTTGATAGAAAAATTGTCGGCTTTATTTTCCGCGTAAGTGGGTTTTTGGAAACAAAAGGACCCCTTCTTGAGTTTGTTGACCTTTCGTTGCTGCCATTCCCAAACCATGTCATTTCGTGCCAGCAGATCAACTTCTACATCCTGTAGTTTTAGCCACTCCACATATTCTTTGGTCAATTGATGAACCTCATGTAAGTCCCCTTTGGGTTTTGTTGCCACCTGGAGAGGTTGTGAAGAGAGATGTTCCTTTTCTGCTAGGATTGGGGACAGTTTCGCAAGATTCACCATGTGATTCGACTGGCTTGTTTTAGCTGCCTCTTCCCATTGCTGAGATGTACTACCTTCATTTGGAAGGTTTTGTGAACCATCCTACAAAAGAGTATTTACCACCTCTGTCTGCTGAAGCAGTTCTCCAGTCGGTGTGAAGGCCAGATGTCCTTCCTCATTAACTCCGACATGCACATCACAGGGTGATGCATGATTATTGTGATTGACTTGGCCAGATGTTCCTTCGGGGCCAACAGGGTAGCTATGGTTGAAGGAGGCTGTTGCTAGCTGGTATACAGTAAATAGATCCCCCGGCAGATTACTGTGGCCAACATCCATAAGTGTTGGGCCTCCTCCATTTGGCAGACCTCCATGGAACTCGAGTTCTGCTGGCTGATTTCCGCCTCCATTATCCGAAGGGGAGGGGGAACTTCTAAAATATGAAAACCATTTTCAGATGGGAGAAATCCGTTAGCTTCAGGTTGCATGGGGGCTTCATTTCCTTGATTGTCATCATCGATATGATCATTCGGGTCTTCCTCCTGCATCTCATCATTTAAATCAGGCTTTGGGGGCTGTACCTGTTCCAAACCATGCTCGACTCTCATTGTAATTTCAAAACCATTTTTAATGGTATTTTCATCAACAGTGGCGAAATAGTTCCTTTGACTATCCACAAACGTCTCTGTGATAATGGAGGTTCGCTTATGATTTTTATGACCATGAGCCCTTATTGATTCAGAAAAAAGTTTTTTCATGTTGTACTTCACCAGTGGAGCGTTGTTTCTACCAGATTCATTGAAGAAGTACCCATCAAGGTAGGATTCCAATTGAGCATCGCTAAGATGGAGACACCTTGTGAGTGGGTAAGCGAGCTGGCCACATCTGAGACAAAACTTATGCATTCTTTCATAGCGGCAGTCTAACCAGGTTTCCTGCTCCAAGTCCAATGTTACATAAAAGCTTGGATTGAGAGGTTCATGTGGCTTAATCCAGATTTTTGCTCGTATATATGTTGTCATAGATAAAGACTCTGCATCATCCATTACTTTTTCTACTTCACTCATTTATTCTGCCAAGAACCTCACTCCCAGGGGGCTGAAGCAATCAAGCAGGACGTGATGAAGTCTGGACCAGATGGAGAGTTTAGTAACTCTGAGATTGCTGATGGAAAATTGGGAATTCCATCGATGTACCAGCAGGAGACCACCATCAATCGCATAAGGGCCATTGTGAAGCACCAACAGCATCTCTTCTTTGTTTAAAAATTGAATTACATAGAAATTTCGGTCACGGTGGATAATCTGGGCATAGAGACCCCAATTCACAGTAAGGGAATGCTGCATGCGATGCTTGTTAAAATTTCTGTCATCCAGAAAGTGGGCTAATAGACAAAGGGGCTACTTTTCCCGGCTTTGGGCCGTTGCATAATCTGGAATTTTGATCACTTTCCCCCTTCTGCTGGGTCTAGGAACATGGTGTGGATGTATGTCCCGATCAGCCCTGTAGTCTCTGGCTTCTTCTGAAAAGGCTGGCCCCTGACCTTAATAAACGCTTTCAGATCTCTGATCTTCTGGCAGTATAGCAGCCATATTTTGGTATGATCAGAAAATTAAAACCCCAAAACAATTATATTTGCTTAGTTTCTGTGGCAATAACTGTAATTTAGAATTTAGTATGTTGTAAAGCTAATAACTGGAAGGTTTTAGTGGACTGTGAATTTGTGGCTGGTTTTGTATATTTGTGTGGTGGTTTTGGCAGGTATAATAAAGCCAAAGGCAATAAGAGACAGAGCAAAGAATGTTTGTAATTAATGAAAAGGTGCCTTTTGGCACAGATTTGGAAACAACTTTGTATATAGTGCAGCAGTTTGCTGCGGTAAAGGCTTGTGCAGCTTTTTATTTGTTGATACTCATGCACCCTGGCTGCTAAAAAACTAATATTCAAATTTGGTTCAATAATTTATATCAGAAGATTCCTGCATGCTTGACAAATGTCTAAACATACACTACAATGCTCAACATGCAATGACCAATTTGTTTCCCTGATAAAGTGAATTTCTGCTCAAGGATGAACTTAAGATTGGTGTTTAATGGTGGCAGGGTCTTCTAAACGGAAGCAAAGGTAAAATAATGGGAGGTTGATCATAGGCTGCTATAGGCTAGAGTTTATTTTATGTTTAGAAATCTAAGTTCAACAGCAGTATGATTGAAGCCACCTGCATGCTTGCCAAATGTATGAACAGGCCCACTAAATCAGACAAGCAGCAGTCTGCTTAGTTGTCCCAAGAAAAGTAAACTTTCTGCCCAAGTATAGTTTACAAATTGAATTTAGAAGATGCAAAAAACGCTTTGGAAGAGGAATTTAATTTTTGATTTTGATTTCCAGAAATCCTTGTTGAGTTTGAAGGAAGGGTGGATTAATTTGGGATACTTTTGAAAGTTCAGGGTAAAAATCTCCTGCGCTTTCTCTCTCTCTACCCTAGTGAGAGAGGGAAGGAATTTTTGACTGGTTGTTTTCTTGTCTTTTCATTTTGAGTCCAACACATAAAACAATGATATATATTCACATCTAACTATTACTTAACAAAGTTTGGATATCTCAAACGATCTCATCATTAATATCCATAACACTCTTCTGACATTAAGGTTATTCGGAATCATAATTCTCAAACTCGCTTTCTCATTTATAATTGTAATGATCAACTGGCTCACCATCACTGTTTTATTTAGCTGACGACTCATTTAAGACGATTAGATCGCTGACTAGGTTGATTGCATCAATCATTACATCATTTCCAAGATGAAAAAAATTAGCAAGAAAAGAGTCAAAATTCGAAGCACCAACATCACTATAACGGGAGGAGAAAAAAACTGTCACTATTAGATATAGTCTAAAAATAATTAGAAAAAAAAAGAAGATATAGTCTTCTTTCTCTGTTTTTCTATACATGAGCGGTGTATTAAATCTGTTAGGAGATGGTCTATACTCTACACATAATTCGGGATTTTGTAACATTTCTATTTTACTTTTAATCAATGCAACTAAAATCTATAGTATTATACTAAGAGAGAAATCAGAGAGAGAAAATAAAAACATGTTTCTAGAGTGCCAAGTAAGCAAAAATCCTACGTGGAATTTCTATAGAAAATGTTATAAAAATTTTTTTTGCAATTACGCTACAAGTCCTTGGGATTTTATGTAAATAATTTTTTTTTACACTTAATGGACGCTTAAAAGTGTTTAAAATCATTGATAATCAACATTAATAAGTAATTAATGTCATGAATTGAATGAGAGACAATTTGAAGAAAAAATATGGAATGATTTGCCACTATTTTTGAAAGTAGTTATTTCCCGTCCAAAAAAAAATAACATAATGTCTAATTTTTTGAAACAAATCAATCAACATTAAATAATAAGATATGTTATGGAGTGGAAATGGGCGAATTTTGATGAACTTTATGGAATAGTTTCACAAGATTTCCGAAAATAATTCCGGTATTAAATTTTTATCATCGAAAAAAATATAATCCCTAATTTTGTTTAAAACAAATCAATCAACATTAAATGATAAGACATATCGTGAAGTGAAAATTACCATTCCACATTATAATAATTGCTAATTGGTAATGACCGGGAAAACTAATACTACGTGATATCCTCAAAATATAAATTAATATTACGTGATATCCTCATCATCCTTATTCTTGAATAGTTAATTATTTGAAACTAAAATCAATTTAGATTCTATATGACGTTCCTAAAATCCAAAAATATTACCCGAGAAAAGAAAATCAACCTAAATAAGCCCTATAAACGAAAACACACAACATTGGTAAATTATGTTTTTATTTATACGATTTAGGTTAATTTTTTTAAAATTCATTTCATCATGCATTTTATTAAAAGAGAGAGAGAGAGAGAGGGGGAGAGAGAGAGAGAGAGAGAGAGAGAGAGAGAGAGACCTTAGTGTAATTATCAAGAAGTCTTTGAATTTTATACAAAATTCTAACCACAACTTCCATATAAGATTAATTCTATTTTTTGGGTCTTAAAAATCATATCCCATGAATTAAGCACATTGATTTATTTTTGCGACAATTGTGAAATTAATTTTTTAAAAATATCTCCAATCAAGATCAATCTCTTAAAAATTTAAAAATAAAATCTATCCCCACTTATATATTCTCTCTTCGTTCTCCTCGCCTATATCTCCTTCTCTCCTTTCATCTTTCTATGTAGTTCTTTGTTTGTTTTATTTTGCCTTTTCTCTCCATATTTTTGCTAACACGAATTTTTTTGTGTTTTGACTTCTTTTTATTTTTCTCTTTTTACTTTTGCAGGGAGCCATCATTCGTCAAAACAATCCATGGAACAAAGAATATGTTAGTGCAGGTTGAGTGCCTCTGATCTGAGTATGCTTTTTTATTATTTAGGGAATAATTCGCCATTTTAGTCCCACAAGAAAAAGTAGATATATACATGCCACCCATTTTTCGGTAGCCATGAATATGATACATGCTAATGTTTTGGGAGTTGCATGCGTTGCCTTAGCAGGGAAAATAAAGTTAGTCTTCAACTTTTAATATTAAGTAAGCTAATCGCATTGATTTACCTTCAGTGATACATTGAAAAAACATGCGCATATTGAATTTTTATTAAGTATCACGCATAACACACATTTTCATTTTATAATATATTATTGTACCAACTACTTGATTTATGGAGATTAATAGGTGAAATAATTGGGTTGCAAGTGTTGCCGTACCTGCAAAGAAAAACTCACAATATGAACTTAAAGGTAGAATACTTTTATTAAAACCCGTAGATAGTATTTGCTTTTAAATTTTCCATAACAATTTAAATTTCAATGCCATCCATGAACATCACAAATAAGTTAGGAGGCTTGTGATTACTATTACTTATGTTCCAAAACTATTCATCAATTTGGATTTTTACTTAACAATTTGAATAAAAACTAAAAATAAAAATTTTACAGTCATTTCAGAACAAAACGGGAATATTTCATGTTCCAAAATCATCTTTGTTGTATTTATGGCAGGAAAAGAGTAATAGAAGATCATCTTTGGTACCAGCATTGAAGAATTATTTAGCCAACTGTTTGAGTTGTAGCTCTTAAATTTTGCACTGAGGGTATTAATGAAATTTATAGATTTATAATCAAGATGTGTAATTGCTGAATTACAAAGGAAGTACTACAAATTTATGGATTTATAATCAAGATATGTTAGCTATTTTGTTTACTTTTGGTTGTATAATGCTTATATTCATCATTTTATTACAATATTTTCTCCGTAAAATCTATAAAATACTGCTATTTGTTATAAATGTAATATTTTTACCTATGACGACAATATAATTTACTTTTACTCATATAATATTTATTATTTCAAATCAATCACTTTATTTATATTTATCACATTTAAAAATTTGAAATGTTTTTTTTATAAATGTATAGGAATAAACCCCGCACATGGTGCGGGTTTCACATCTAATTTTGATAAACCAAAAATGACCCTCGCCCTAGAATCAATAGCAAATGATAGGACTTAAAATCAATTGCAAAGAGCTGATGCACTGCTCTAATCTTCAGTATATATACGCATAGCATTTAGATTAATCTCCACCCGATTTGGTAGACCATTTTTAAGGGGGGAAAGGAAAAATCTTCAATAATTACAAGTTCATACAAAACTTTTAAAATCTAAATACTTTTCAGCTTTCATAGGAAAAAATGCTCTAATTTTTGGGTCTACTTCTGTCCACCTCGTCATGTTTATGTTAAACATTTTGAGCTTCTTCTTTTTCATTTTCCTTTTTTGGGGGCGCGTCTGCATGATCAAGTGCACACACGTGGAATCCAAACTAACTCCACAATCCGACACCTCATCAACTCAATTTTCTCTACTTTCAGTAGTCTATATCCTTTCGTTTCTTTCTTAGTTCTTGGCCCTTCCACCGTCTGTTAAATAGCCATAAAAAAGCTACATAAGCCAGCTCCACACTTTAAAATCTCTCCCAAGTTTTTCTTTTTTGTCATTCATTTCCCACTCTCAAATACTCGTATTGTTTATTTACGGAGTAAGACAACATAACAAAACAAGCCGCTTTATAACGTAAGTAATAATATCATTGTTTCCGTCTCATGTTAATAAAATACTTACTAATATATACTTATCGGACAAGATTTCGTGTTCAATGTATATCTGCTATCGCTTCCTGAATCCTTCATGAAGATCCCAGAAACCGGCGCTAAATCCTTGAGCGTTATCCAATTATCCCCATTCATATATAATTCGTACTTCAACAATAAACAATCCGCTGGAATAGTACTAAAAACGAAGCTAAAAAACCAAACGATATCAAAAACTTTCATCATATAGTAAAGTTCCCCTGTTTCAAACCTTTTTTTCTCTCTTCATCAATGGCTACCAAGGAAAACAAAGCCATAGGAATAGACTTAGGCACAACCTACAGCTGCGTCGGAGTATGGCTAAACGACCGAGTTGAAATCATACCAAACGATCAAGGCAACCGAACCACGCCTTCCTACGTCGCCTTCACCGAAACAGAGCGTCTGGTCGGCGATGCTGCCCGGAATCAGGCCGCAATCAACCCGCACAACACCGTCTACGACGTCAAACGCCTCATCGGCCGGCGATTCTCCGACCCTTCTGTCCAGAGCGACTCAAAGCTCTGGCCCTTTAAGGTCACTCCCGGTCCAGGCGAGAAGCCTTTCATTTCCGTCAAACACAAAGGGGAAGACAAGAAGTTTGCTCCGGAGGAGATTTCTTCTATGATTCTTGATTACATGAGGCTGACTTCGGAGGCGTTTTTGGGTTTCAAAGTGAATAATGCTGTGGTCACTGTGCCTGCTTATTTCAATGATTCTCAACGGCAAGCGACGAAAGACGCCGGTTCGATTGCCGGGTTGAATGTATTGAGGATTATTAATGAACCGACTGCTGCTGCAATTGCGTATGGATTGGATAAGAAGCATTCGAGAAGAGGGGAGCAGAATGTTTTGGTGTTTGATCTTGGTGGAGGGACTTTTGATGTTTCTCTGTTGACAATTGAAGAAGGGATTTTTGAAGTGAAAGCCACAGCTGGAGATACTCATTTGGGTGGGGAAGATTTTGATAATAGGCTTGTTAATCATTGTGCTTCTGAGTTCAAGAGGAAGAACAAGAAAGATGTTACTGGAAATGCCAGAGCTTTAAGGAGATTGAAATCTGCTTGTGAAAGGGCTAAAAGAACGCTATCATCCACAACTCAGACTACTATTGAGGTTGATTCTTTACATGAAGGAGTGGATTTTTACAGTAGTATTACAAGAGCAAGATTTGAAGAGCTCTGTATGGATCTGTTCATGAAATGTTTAGATCCTGTGGAGAAAGTATTGAGGGATGCCAAGATTGATAAATCAAAAGTTGATGAAGTTGTTCTTGTTGGAGGGTCAACCAGGATTCCAAAAGTACAGCAATTGTTGCAGGATTTCTTCAATGGGAAAGATCTCTGCAAGAGTATTAATCCTGATGAGGCTGTTGCTTATGGTGCGGCAGTTCAGGCAGCAATCTTGACCGGAGAAGGCGATTCAAAGGTTCAGGATCTTCTATTGCTCGATGTAACTCCGTTGAGTCTTGGCCTGGAAACAGCCGGCGGTGTGATGACGACTTTAATTCCGAGGAATACAACAATCCCGTGTAAGAAAGAGCAGATTTTTTCCACGTATTCGGATAATCAACCGGGTGTTTTGATCCAGGTTTATGAAGGCGAAAGAGCCCGGACGAGGGATAACAATCTTTTGGGCAAATTCGAACTCACCGGAATCCCTCCGGCACCCAGGGGAGTACCTCAGGTCAATGTTGTCTTCGACATTGACGCAAACGGGATACTGCATGTGACGGCGGAGGACAAAACGGCCGGAGTGAAGAATCAGATCACCATTACAAACGACAAAGGGAGGCTGAGCAAGGATGAGATTGACAGGATGGTGAAAGATGCAGAGAAATACAGGGCTGAAGATGAAGAAGTGAAGAAGAAAGTGGAAGCCAAAAATGGGTTGGAAAATTATGCTTATAACATGAGGAACACTGTGAGGGATGAGAAGTTTGCTTCCAAGTTAAAGCCAGAGGATAAGGAGAAGATTGAGAAGGTTGTTGGGGAAGCTATAGAGTGGTTGGATAGGAATCAGTTAGCAGAAGTTGATGAACTGGAGGATAAATTGAAGGAGCTGGAGAATGTTTGTAATCCTATAATCTCTCAAATGTATCAAGGTGGTGGAGGCAGCTCGGGCATGGATGAGGATGTGCACGGCGGTGCGGGTGGTGGCTCTAGTGGTGGTGCTACTGGATCCGGCGGTCCCAAGATTGAAGAGGTCGATTGATGGACAGATCTCTAGGTGCTTACAAGTCGCAAGTACTCTGTTCTTTTCTTTTTCAAGTGTTGAAATGTTTTTCTCTAATGTATTTTTGGTTTAGTTTAAGACTTTAAGTTGGTGTTTTGTAAAAGTAGTATTGTAATTTTGCCTGGAAAACAGTGATTTAAGGAAAAGGTACTGTCATGTTGAAAATTGTAGTTGATCTGTTGAGTTAATTGGTTAATATCTATAGCGTATAAATATTAGAGTAGTGATACGTACAGGGAAAAAATGACAAGGAAAATTTACAAGGAATGACGTGTTAAATATCAAAACTAGACTCTAATCTTAAATGCTTAAATTCCATATAGAAAGTTTTTAAAATGGATGGGTCAGATCATTTCCTTGTAATTTTTTCTTGTACCTATCATTATTCTAAATATTACTAGTGTTTGGTGTACCGCACGAAGTGCAGTGTTTAAGAATAATTTACCGTGTATATAGCTTGAATATGATTAGTAGATCAGTTTAATTAGATGTAGATTTTACACAATAGTTATGATACTCCACTCTATGAATTTTTTTTTTCTTTTGATACAAATGAAGGAGGCAAAACTTGTAAATTAAGATAAAACAGATCGGAATACTAATGTAACTAGGTTTTCAGTGTATCCGGCGGGTCATCCAATTGCAAGATTCCTCCAAGACCAGTATATGCGAGAATTGCTAGAGAATTCGTAGCAAAAGTCGATTCTCGATATATGTGCTTCAACTCAACAAATCATGACCTCTGCAACAAATTTCGAATGGCTAAAATTAAGCCTCGGTGCAAAACTAAGATATCCTCATCGCTCTCCACAATCTCAATCACACTATGGTTATTCACCTGGGTTAAAATCTGTTTTATCCCTAGCTCCCAAGCAACTTAAACCCTATAATAAACCCCATAACTCAGTGTCAATGATTGAACAAAAATCAATATTCATAATAAATGCCATCAAAAGCTAGCAGTCCCCGTACAGTCTTGCAATACATGAATCGTCGTCTTCGGACCATTTCGACAGACTTTACAAGTATCAATGTCTAAGATATGGCAGCGGTGTCGCTCAGAATTGGTCAACAGCCGTTATTGCTGTCAGCCAGAGGATTTAATTTGACGAACCCTCAGGGGACCAGCCCGCCTCTAAATTATTTTCCAGAGCCACTGATTGCTACTCCACAAAGAGCACGTAACAAAATATAGGCAGACTTTGTCGTAAACAACCCCACTTTGTTTGTTAGGCGGTTTAATGGCCGAGATTTTCATCATTATAGTCACAGGCAGAAGATTCGCAAACAGTTCCCACTTCCATACACCCCTTTCATCAACAAAATCAAAGAAAAAGCGGAAGATAGGTAGTTGTACTCTACGTCTAAGTTCCTTTCATAAATATTAAGGTTTCTGCTCCATAAATGTCGGGGAATCTTCTCGACGCCTCTTCCACTGCTGATGGCCTGGTCGATCCCAAAGTGCATCCTCCGGACAGAGAAAGCAGGGAGTTTCCTGAGTTGCATAAGGCTAATCCTCCTTCAACGATGGTTATCGTTAACTGAAGCGATCCCGGTTTCGAGATAGATCTGCTGAGGACATTGATATAGGTAAAGGATTTACTAATCAACCTTGTAGTAGTTTGCCGCCATAAAAGATGAGCTTTCGGGATATGCTTAACCAGAACCGTCCTCATTTGGAGATATCATCTGATGATGAGGACGGGGGAGATTTGAATGATGATGTTACCATTGACTTTGGCAGCGTTGAGCCTGATGTCGAAATCAAAGACAAATTTTATAAATCGTTGATAAAGTCGTGGCAGAATGTAGTTATAGTTGCATGGATCAGGTTATCGGGGATGCCTATGCACTTCGATCACTAGAAATTCTTTCGGAAAATTGGTAAGGTAGTGGGCAAAGTTGTGAAAGTTGATAGTCAAATAGCTAGACTAACATGCGGAGTACGAGTTTCTGCCTAACATATGTTTTGAATTTGGTTGATATGGTTTTGTGGCCAAGGCTTGCCCGGATCGTCCAAGAGATGATGGTATGTCACAGGTGAATCATAATGCTGGTCTCGTGGTGAATGAAAGTGAAAAAAGGAATCAGGATGGGGATAATGTTGTTACTGGAGTCCATAACAATGTTGTGGCTCAGGACCAGGGGGAGGAACGTGTTTTTGGTATATGGTTGGTGGCCAAAACCCCAGCGCATAACAAGCAGGCTCGTAATGTGAATAAAAAAAGAAAAGTAGCATTGTGCAACCATCAGGGTCAAGGTTTCATATGCTAGATGTGCAATAGGAAGAAGAAAATATGAGTCAGCATAATTGTGCTTCTGCAAAGAATGGAGAGCCAGTTCGGTTCCATGTGGGGAAGGAGAAGAAAGGGAATAACATGGGGCAAATGAGGGAGAATCAGAGGAGTGGAAGAAAGGGTAAAACTGATGAATGGAACATTGTTACGGACTCCAAATGGATGCATTTCCTTTAAAGCTGCCAGAATCTCCAGAGTAGAGACATCCTGTTCCATCCATTCCACTGAGCATTGTTCCATATGCAAAAACACACAAGATGTCGACAAGGAAATGGAAGAACTAGGGCCGGCTGTGTAAATTTCACGAAAATACTCAACCGTCATAGGTCATAATATTTCCGGATCCTCCATGAAAGAGCCATCAGAATCAAATAAAAAGAGTATCTTATTCCACCTCCACTTCACCTTTACTTTCGATGATAATACGAAGTATTTTGATCCCCCAACAAAGCCCAATCCGTCCTTGATTTTTGAATCACCATAACATCTTCTTGTAACAGAACCTCATCCAGTTTGCTACATAATGATTTCTCCAAGCTCTTCAATCTCTCAGTTGTATGTCGCATTAGCTCGCTTTGCACCCCGCCAATTCGAGCTAACAACTGCTTCTTCCTTTGAAGAATATTACCAAAAACATTATGATTCCACTCTACTAATGTAACTATACTAATAACTCTACTTACATGACAATCTAGATAACATATCCACATTACCATGTGACTAATTAATAATATTTATAAAAAAAAGAAAATGAGAAAACCCTCATCAGTTTCCCAAGTTTTTTTGAAAGGAACATTTAAACACAAAAAACTTATGTTTCTTTTTCGGCTGGAAAATGGGAATAACATAATTTTCTGGTTCACAGCCACCACCAGATCGGCACCCGCCATTGGGCAAATTTCTTCTTTCATCTACAACCACACCAAAAAGTTTCTATTTCTCACAAAAATTCACAATTCTCCTCCTCATTCAGTGATTTGCAACCTAATCAATCCTTTCTAAAATAATCTACGTGAAAAGTTACAAGGTCACTCACTAAATTGAAGCGGCCCCTTCTTGAATCCTCATTAAATTAATGCAGTATTGTAGACCAATGGCAACAAAAAATGACCCTAGGTATTACAGTGCCTATCGATGAAAAGAATGATAAGTTTAGGTTATTGAAGTAGGTGATAAAACCTTGATTTGATATGGGATGAATTTTGGAGAATGCTATACAATATACTTTGTGAAAAAAATAGAAGGAAAAGAAAATCACAGCAAGTTACGATGATTTTGGATTTTTAATTTTTAATTAAATATTATCATTAATTTTTTATGGTAATATGAACATGCCAACTAGATCGCCATATAAATAGAGTGGAATATCATTACTCTATATATAAAGGAAACGAAAATAAATAGAAGAAGTCAAGACCTCCTTTGAATTTGAAGTCTCTATAATAAGGTTTTTATGAAATAGATAATATTTTATTATCTTAAAAATATGAAAAAGAAGTTCAATCTCATTAAATTGGGTTGAAAGAATTATTACAAATGCCTTGTGTTGCTTGTTTATTCAACATATATATATATATATATATATATATATATATATTTGGATACATGGAAGGCAGCTCAAGGCAAGCTCAAAACTATTATTTCGAAAGTGTGCTACATCAATGACTTCATGGAGTAATCGTTTTTCCGCATCTGGTGATTCTTTAAGTCTCTTCACTTCCCAATCCACTTGATCTTTTAAATCTGTTGGGCATTCAGCCACATAATTTGTTAAACAGAGCACACATGTCAAGTCCTCCATGCATCCCTTCATGATTTTGTTGTTTATCGATCTTCCACAGCACCGACTACTAACTTTGCAATGATCTTTTGTTGTATGATGCAATAGGAATAGAAAAATCCAAGCCGAGGCTTCTGTACAGTACAACCTTCATTTTTGTTTCTTTTTGTTGTTCTTTTCATTGCATTGCCTATACACATTTTGGATAGATTTGGAGACCTCTGAAACATTCTAACTGGTGATTCAATTATGCTCCAATTGTTCCAGTGAACTTAATAGCATAAACACTAAAAGACACTGTGATTTATACAATAAAATTTGTCTTGAATAGGCACCATTCTTCCTAAGGCTACAGACTTTGGATCCGCACTCCCATGACCTTTAACAAATCATTTTTTTTAACCAATATAGTATTTGATAAACCATCAACTATAACACCCCCATACAAATTTTTTAATGAAAGCAAAACAAAAACAACATGATGATTTACCTTGTTAGAAAAGACTATTTACACTTTGGAAAACCTCACCACACTATTTAGTATCTATCAAAAAGTTTAGAATGATTTTCTTGCTGCTCAGCCATCCAAAAGAATACTTACACTCGTGCTATTTATTACCAGTAGCGGTTTTTAATCACCATTTCTACACCACAACACAACAAACAAATGCATTATTTAGGTTCTTTTTTTTTGTTTTTTTTTTGTTAATGCTGCTTATCAGATGTATAGATGCATTCAGTGAATAGTGGGGACGATATACATTATGTTGATAAAATGTGTCAAACCCAATCATAAAAATAAGTACCAAGGTTTTGTATGATTAATTTTTTGGATCTGATACGATCTTTCTAGGTATTATTACAAAAATTTTAGGTGAATATAAACTTGAGTCACGAATACAAAGATGAACCAAATATTGTGAGGATCAGTCACCAAAAAGTTCTACCTTTCATCTACTCAATATTTCTGAGGCAGAGTTTGATTTGAATATGTCAATATTTCTTTATACCGGTTCCTCTCGGAAAAATTCTGAATAACTTTTGTTGTCGCCGTTGCTCTTATATATATTTTTATCACGATATCATGATCTAAACCCTTGACCAAATCCCCAAAATCTTCAGTAATCTCAAGCTGGTAAAAAACATACAGATCCTTCAGAGAAATCCTATGACATGTATAGTGGTTTTGGTAGATCTAAAACTCATATGCATTGAGTTTTCTTCTATTTTTCAACTTCCCATCAAAGTAATTGAGGACTATGTACCCACCATGAGTATTAAACAAATACACGAGTTCATCGATATAACTACGAGTACAAATATAGCCACGCGGAGACCTAGCAGCAAGAACAAAAGCTTCATCTCTATTGTGAGAAAACTTCCACCGAAAGTAGTTTTCAATAAAGTTTCTATAATCAGCGAGATTTGCATGAAACGCTAGGGATAGAGATGCATTCCACATTCTCGCATCAGAGTTAAGGTAATGTAAATTATTATCCTCTTTGACCCTGCATGTACACACTTGGCCTGTCTGGGTGACGGCAAAAAAAAAAATGCTCATGTTGAGGAATCATACGAGATTTATGAAAGCCATATAGAAACATCAACAAGAAAAGTGAATAGTCAAAAACCAAAAATTATACCTATACTCAATTGCATAATCAAACAATCACATATTATCACCTCAAGTTTTTTTAGAAGTATCAAACACCAAATGTGAAAATTAACAATTTCACTTTTTCTGGCAATTAATTTTTTATCCATTAGTTGTGAAACCTCACAAGAAAGAGATCTATATTAAACGAAATCTCATAAAACGATTCAAAAAATATGAGAAAAAAACTTTGAAAACAGAGAGAGAAATTGAAACTCTTCACAAACGTTATGCAACATAACACTCTTAGTGACATAAAATCGAACACCTTGAATACACTAAACATGTAATGATTTTTATTCATTATACTTCCTCTTCACCAAAGTTTAACAATCACTATCTATCCCTAAAGACTGGTACCAAAGACTAACAAAAAAAATCTCCCTAAAGATTGTTACTGAAAATTTCAAATTTTTATGATTTTTTTGTTGCAAAATTCAAAATTAATCAGAGATTTCTACACGGAAGAAATGAATTTAAAAACTAATTTTAATTGAATGAGATGAAAAGGAAACACAATAACAAGAAACTAATATTTCTATTCTATCTTGATTTCTTCCTTCAACAAAACAAAAGCTACCCTCCTTCTTCAATAGGCAAAGTAGGGGAATAGAAAAAAATCCACAGATGTAAGAATCAATTTTAAAGTGTAGAAGGGTTTAGAAGTTAAAATATTGGGTGCACAATCTAGAACAACAGTCGGGTAAGCAAAATCCAACTACGGGTAATCGGATAGAAACGTCAACACATAAAAAGAAATACCCAAGGGATGAAAGAAGGGGTCTAACGAATGTGACATCTATATAATATACTAATAGAAAACTCATAAAGAGAAATCAAAATACTTTTTTACTTGACGTATAGGATTTTATCCTATGTGTTAATTTTTTTAGATTTTTAGATTTATTAAAATTAAAAATAAAATAAAGTATTACCTTCATCTACAATTATACAACCGCTAAAATAATTTATTTTAACAAAAAAAAAATACATTCTCCTCTTTGGCTATATCCTACTATATTAGAAACAAAAACCTCTCTTTCAAACACCTCATATGATTGCCACGTGGCATGTAGAAAATACTAAATTGCCCTTTTGTCTAACCATAACTAAATTACTAAATCTCCATTTGCACTTTACGTGACACGTTTTTTTTTTTTATTTTTTCTTTATGTTTCATTCAACTAGAATGGTTTTTTAAATTGAATTGATCAATTAGGTTTTTTGTTACAAAGTGTCATTCAACTAGAGTGGTTTTTTAAATTGAATTGATCAATTAGGTTTTTTGTTACAAAGTGTCAATTTTGTTTTAAGCGTATACCCTTCGGATGAAGCTTATTATAAAGCTATTAAAAATCTCCAAAACTAAGTATTGATTTGGCACGACCAATGGAGAACATCATCTTACTAATATTTAAATTTATTAGGATGCTTTTATATTTTATCTAACATTTACTTCAACACATATATTCGATTAAGCTATTTATATTTAATAAGTAACACTTATAAAACATTTCTAAAACATACATGGCGAAATACAATTTATTTTTTTTTTTTTGCGAAATACAAATATTTCTATGATTACACTTATAAAATATTTCTAAATCCTTCAAACATTTCTAAAATATATCGCTCCAAATACAAAATTTTATTTTTTTCAAATATAAACATTTCGAAGATCTACAGATAGATTGGGCCAGGGTCGCGCATTGCGCGACCAGACATCACTAGTCCACTATAGAA